AGTGGGTTCACTAAGTATTTATCTGAAGTAATTTCCTGTGAATTGTTACCACATTTAGTCTGAGCTGATGTCTTTTATTATTTTACATACAGTGGACTTGTCATCTCGTTAAATTCTGATTGAAATTCTAAAATGCTTTCGACTAGAGGGGATGTAACATTAATTATTGTACAGCAGAACCCCAGGATATTTCACTCACATCGGAATAGCAACTTTTAAACGAGCTTCCCACCCGCCACCTGCACAAACTGCACCCAGTTAAAAATGACTACTTAAGTGGCCTTCATTTTTCACAGGCTTTATAAAATCAAATATATTTTATAGAAAACATGCGCAAAAAGTATTCTGCATCGCGCTTAGTCGGTACAAAATTACGTCTGCTTCAACTCAAACTTGAAAAATGTGTCTTCCGGTTTTAAAAACTTTTGTTCGGTTTCCGAATACCTTCGACTGCAACCTACCATTGCATTTGCATTCAAGCAAACTACTACTAGCGAACTACAAACGGCTCATAAGCCTTGTCTTCGTCGGTTATATATTTCTGATTATATATTACATATATTTCGTAAGAAAATCATACATTTCTACATGCTATTACGGAGACGCCCTATACGACTCATAAAATTTGGCTGTCAATATGAACCATGTCGTGGAGCTTACAAGCAGCATTAATAAATGGAAAGAGAAGATATTTTATGCATTCCTTCTCACGGTTTTAATCATAAATTTAAAATCGAAAAGTATCCTTTCTGCAAGTACAAAATGTTTAAGGAGGTATTATTTACTACCAAACAAGTACCAGCATATTTTCATATGTTTTCCATCAGAAAAATATTTGAATCTATAAAGACATCGACTGCTGTTTCCACAGACGGTTCGAAAGAAGCTCGTCCAAAAGCCGACATACTGTGACTGAAATACCTGGGGATTATGCTGCATGATATGCAATCTTTTTATATCGAATACAAATTGTAGAATATAAATTATCATTGCAAATAGCACATGAATTCTAAACCTTATCCATAAAGCACAGTTTGGGGCACACCTTGTCATACGGTCTGTCTATTTCAGTGCGCTCTACCTTTCGAGAAGTTCTAGCAGTATGCCTCACAACACACGACACTTATGCAGATACTTGGCAGAAGAAGCACAAAGACAATTCACGTACTGAAATCAAGGGGCAGATTCACAGAAAACCCCAGATATGGGCATAGAATTCAAACTGGTAGATGGTCTAAATGAATGCATGCGCTTTCCACTCATTGAAAAATTTGGACCTGCAGTTCTCGGTGCCCAGAAACCCCATAAAGATGCATAGTATCTAGGAAGAATACTTTTCCGCTGCATATTCGCATTTCGCATACATTTTTTATGTAAGGTTTGCATCTGTGTTGTCTAGTTATGGCACAGGACAACGCATACCATCAGTATTGATAGGTTTCACCATTTACGGCGCCCTGGGGACATGGAATTTACCATTTAATAAGATTATGGGTTGTGTATGCACAGAGCAGGTCGATAAAAGGCCACTAGTGGACCGTTCAAATTCAACCCATGGTAAGAGGGGTTAAAGATGAGCCCACTGAATGTTTCTCTCTGTCATAGATTAGCTATATTCTTTCAGATAAAACGTTCCCTAGTAAGTTGGTTGCGCACTAAGGATGCGTTCAGGATTTAGTCCAGAGCTGCTCAATTTCGAAAATTCCTGAAAAGTGCCGACATGGTATGCGTCACATATTTTTCTAAGTGTAATTTTATAAGGCAAACATGCTCCCTTCTAAATGCACAAAAGAAAACGCTGGTCCTGCAACAGTCCTCTAATACTGGTTACTAACACTATAATCGCCAATGAAGTGAGCTGACTCAACTTGTCAAAAGGACCTGTCGGCGGGTTTCGATGAGACGTTTGCACATGCGGCAACTGGTCATCAAAGAAATGAGATTTTTCGAAGGAATAAGGATCAAATATTTCAGTAGTCGGAGTTAGAAACGAAAGCGGTCGTAATTCGTCACAATGTAACGCTTCAAACACACCATATTTTTGTACTTTTTATTGATGATTTGCGTCAAAAATTGTTGTTCATCACGATCCCAAACTACTATGTACATAAAAGAAGAGTGCGGTGCCGTCGGAAGACTAACAGCCAAGTGAGCAAAGGGAGCAATCAGGACAACTAACTGTCCGCGGAGGGCTTCGAAGATTTTACTGGCCTTCCAGAGTTATCGATCGCATAGTTGAAGTCCAGAGGTTGGGAGTGCATAACTTCGTCTAATCTGGAGTCAATATTTTCAATGGTAATCATACGGTCTGCCCCTTCCTAAAATGCATAAGAGATAATCAAAATGTACTAAATGTAGGAACATAAAATAAATATGCTAGCTTTTTGAACGTGTAAAGGTACCCAAATATTCGAAGGCACATGGCAATTTATGAGAGCATAAGTCAGCAAGGAGAACGTACGAGCATAGACAACATCTTCTCTTTCAGTTTCTCAACGCGTGCGTTTTCTTTGTCGTCATAGTCCTGGCGCTTAGTAAGATGTTCCATTATCTTTTCGGAAAAATGCGAAACGAAGTATTCCTCGCGAAGCTTTTTAGTCTCCCGGTTCCATTCGTCGTTTATCAAAACTAGCGAGGGATCGAAGGCCTGCTCCGAAACAATTTCCGGAGAGGATTCGGGAGATTTCAGGGCAAATGTGGTTCGAAGAAGATGTCTGCGAACATGTGTGAGGTAACTGTAGCATACTGTATTGCTACTGTCTGTAGTTTGTAGTCCGACCACCACTTTTTAAGAAGGTTATCCTCAACAGGATCGAGAGGCGTTGGCTGTCTGACACGCAGAAGTTTGCCTGAAAATCACATGTAAGTACAAAGATACCTTTTGTTGGAGGGTATATTCGGGGGTTGCGGCGAACAGCTGGCTTTCTGGCGCTGCGAACAAACCGTGGAACCAAACTTGACATCGTGCTCTAATAGGTTGCTTGATATCCACCCGTATATTTTGGGAACATTTCAGAATATTAAAACGACAAGAATTCGTGAAACGAAGGTTCACGTATTTCGTTTTTACATTACTTAAAATTTAACTTTCTTTAACATATTAACTTAGTAAATACTCTTCTGCGAAATCCATTTTTTAAACTTTTTTTGCTTTAATCGTGCGATCTACATGGGAATTAAAAGTACTCAAAATTCTGATTCTATTCTGTCAAATTTTGATAAGTCTGGGTACCAATTCAGTGTTTAAATAACTGGATCAATTTATTCAAAGGTCGTTGTGTGTGGTGCAGTGAGCGAATATACAAAACGTCACGAACATAACAGCATTGCAACAGTAAGCTGATGTCCTGAACGCAAAACAATAGAATATTGTAGATACTTGTACTTTTCAGTTCGGATAAAGGTGAGTTGATTTTTTTGTTCAAATCAACACTAAGCGCCTTACCACACTTTTTGACAAATACAGCGTGTCAGTGTGCTAGCCTCTCCTGGCGTGTTCTGACGGTTACGAGGTATCTCCTGCACATTCTGCATTATTCCGTCTCACCTGTATCTGTTTCCCCGCCCGTCAACGACACCTATCATTGGTGATCATCTCCGGGCTCAGGACCAACTGACGGTGATCAGATCGCGAGTGCTCTGCAACATTCCCGGCTCCTGGCGATCGAACCGAGCTGCCAACTTTACATATCATTCTTCTGCAAGTCATTATTTTGACTACTGCAATCAAGGATCATTGGGACCTCGTGAGTCGAATCGTTTCCCTTTTTCCAGCAGCGTAGTGCAGTAGTTTAGTTGCCGCTAGTTTGCACTACTTTTGGGGGTTTTCTGTCGGACGTTTTTCAGATACGTTTTCATACGTGTTGTAGACTTATGCACTACAACATAAAAGTATTCCCACGTCAAAGGGAAAAAATTCAAAACCATCAAGGAATATAAGGCTTAGATGTGGGTTCTCTGTAACCATTTCTTTGTCTTTTTGGTCGAATTTCACGTCAACTGCAATAATTGGCTACTGACAGGCAGCACTACCTTGTTAGACATACTTTTCCAAGGCCCTGCAGCGCAAGTCATCACTCCTCTACCCGCATGCTGCCTAGTGCACGATAGAACTCTTCAAAAGCGACGGTCCAACATTCATCATCAATCTTCGCATTGAACGGCCTCAAGTTCGCTGACCGAAACCAACCAAGCTAGCTCTTGCATGGGAACATTCGCGTGTAGCCAATTGTGGAGGTCCATGTGCCACTGGGACACGTCACCTCTAGGTAGCTCAAGCAATGCCATGACAGTTATACAAGCCTCACAAGCCTATTAAAACGGATATGCCGCTCGTCTCAATTTCTCTTTCGAACCTGGATGAACACCAGCAACATGAACCCTGGCCTTGGCAGCGACCAGTACTCCCTGCAACGACAGCAGTGTGTTCCATCTACGAGTACTTCTTCCTTACGATAAATTTTGACATCTGCTACGTGCGAATTTTACTAATACTTATAGCGCTCTGATAATATCCACTGTATAGACGATACGGTAGATATGCGTAATGGGGCTGCCTACGTTTTGACTTCAATAATAAAAACGTAAATAAAATTGTTCAGTAGCCCAGATTTCCATCCATTTCCGTGCTAATTATCGATTGTAAGTAGTTTTCTATTATTATATACGACTTCCTTATGATTTCATAGCAGGTCTTACTCCTTAACGGAACCTTGCTGCCTTATCACACAGAGTACTTTCTGCTTTTCAGAGCCCGTCCCACGGTGAGCGGGCTGGTGATATAGTCACGTTCGCGTCGCTGAACGCCAGTTTCATTACTTGCGGCGGTTCTTATAGTCAACGTTGCATAGCTTTGAGGCATTGGGCGTTGACCAAGGAAGTCGGACAACACTGTCGGCTTTCCGAAGCAGATCTACCCCAACCCAATGCGCTCTCGACCGCCGAGTTAACCTCCGCGAAAAATCTTCCTCTGGCCCTGGTGTACGCCAACTTACCCTGTGT